ATGATGAACCCAATTCTACCTTACAAATCCGGCTAGACCAGAGCATGTACAGTGGTACAGATAAGAGCTCACAACACAGGGAACCCAGGGCAGATAAACCCCTCAGAAGCAACAATGAGCGTAGCTATAGGGAGTAGGGAGAAGGTGGGAAGAGAAAAGTGGAACTGATCACAATGATCAACATATAACACCAGAAAAGTGGGTGAAGGGAGATAGTGGTTGGTGTAAGATATGATAATAATTTATAAATTATCAAGGGTTCATGAGGAAGGGTGGGTGGTGGAGGGATGGCAAAAAAATGAGGAGCTGATACCAAGGGGTCAAGTAGAAAGAAAACGTTTTGAAAATGATGATGGCAGCATTTGTACAAATATGCTTGATACAATGGATGTACGTATGGATTGTTATAAGAGCTAAAAGAGCCCTCAATAAAGTGATTAAAAAATAGATAGTAATGGAAGAGCTTTATGTTCCAGGGAGATGAAAGATAAGACTCTACCATAAATTAACAAGGAGGTCTCTAACGGTAGCCAAGGGCAGATTAAAAAAAAAAAAGATTCAGAAATGGGTTTTGGGCTCACACGTACTACATCCTAGCTCAAATTTAAGAACAATTACATACTTCTCGCATCATGGCCTGTCTCAATACTTGCCCTCAGGAAGGAGACGCAGAAGATATGGGTGCTATAGTAAAGGGTGGCCAAGGAATTAGATGGTGCACAGCTAATCAGATATATATTTTAAAGCCTCTGGGGTCTTAAAGGCATGTTTCCAAACAAGCAGCCATCTAAGTGAGATGTCAACTAAGTCCACATGGAAGAAGCACACCCACATCAGAGACTGAAGGATTGTAAATAATATAATCCGTAGCCAAAGGAGGGAATAGTATCATAGCCCAAACTGTGAGATTCTGGCTTGCAGAACGCTATAGATAACAGTGCAAGCCCAAGATACATTGTGAGATATACTTAGGGAATAAGCATCGGTGATTCCCCTCTATCCATAACAGAGGGATGGGAAGAAAGTGGTTACCAGAGTACATTAGAGGGATGACTACAGAAGATCAAAATGATATGGTTGAATGGTTAAAACCTTGTCAGTGGATCCCCCCTCTGATGCATGTTGGGCCTGATCTGGTTTTCAACATTTGCTGTATTTGTTTGTTTGTTCATATTGGAGTTTTATCTCAGTTGTATTTTATCATTGGGGGGTAACTCTGTTGAATTTTTGTTGTATGTTTTTCTATTTCTCAGTCTATGAAACCCAGGGTTGATGAACCTATACAGACAGCAAGTAGAATACGGGTTTTTGGGGGGTACAGTGGTGGTGGTGGAGGTGGGGTAAGAGGGAGTTGATGTCAAGGAGTTCAAGAAGGAAGAGAATGTTTTGAAACTGATTATAGTAGCAATTGTACAATACTTTGTGATGTGATTCAACTATGGAAAGATATGATATCTATATTGGCTCCCAAGATAAAATATTTTGGGAAAAAACTTTCATTGACATATAATTCATATATGATACAATTTAATGGTGTGAATATATTAAAGTCGTGCAGTCATTACCATGATCAATTGTAGAATATTTTCTTCATTTTTGTACTGACTGTTATTAGCTCCCCTTTCCCCCAAACTTCCTCTGCCGCAACCGTAAGGAAGTATTGATCTTATTACTGTGTGTCTAGAATTATCCACCCTGGGTTCATATAAAGAGAATCATAACAACAACAACAACAACAAAATAAAAACAAAGAAGAAAACCCAGCAACAATAACAAAAGAAAATGCAGGGAAACCTCAATCCAAAAGAACGAAAACAAAACTAGGACAAATATAAAATGGATCAAAGGGAAGACAAACCATAGATGTTAACCGTTAACCTAACTGTACCTGCATTAATTCACTTTCTGATGCAGTCTGTCTGAGGGGAAGGCTTTTCATCTTCCTAGACAATGGTCTGTTGAGCCCTGGTGATGTAGTGATCACATGATGGTCTGTGATCCCAATGGTCAGCCGTTCAAAATCACCAGCCCCTCCTCGGGAGAAAGACTGAACTTCCTACTCCGGTAAACAGTTACAGTCTTGGAATCCACAGGGGTCACTGTGAGTCAGCATTGACTCAGGCGCAGTGAGTTTGGATTTTCTTTGGAGTTAATGGTCTGAGGGAATTCAAATGGAGGTTTATTCCCCATGGGAGTTCTGAAAATGGATTTGGGCCCTTTCACTGTGTGCAAATCAAGTGCTCAGAATTTCCCTCCTCTGATCTTGAATCTTATTATTCACAATCCTTGGATCACACAAGCTGATGTGCTTCTTCTGGGTAGGTTTAGCTGACACCTCAGTTGGCTGCTCATTTTAAGATGATCTTTTAACTCCAGACACTATTCTGATAGCTGGGCACCATTTGATTTTTTCACCACATTTTGCTATGCCACTGCGATCTTAAGTGATCCTTTCATGAGGGTTAGTAATGAGCAATGTCACATCACAAGAACTGATGTTCAGCGTTGGTGGTATAGTGGTGAGCATAGCTATCTTCCAACAACTGATGTTCTTAGGTTGGGGCTTACGATAAAGTGTGAACCTGTTTTTACACACATTCCTTGTGCTTTTAATCTGTGCAGTTTATTTCATAATTGTACTGGAATTCAATTATAATATTATTTTTTGGGGTTTGCATATGTTTACTTGGAAATGTTTCAATTATAATATTCTTGTGTAAAAAATTTTAAGACACATTTCTTAGTTTCCATACAAAAAATGTATTTACTGGGGCTTCACAGGACATTGTTAAGAGATTTCTGGTGATTCTTAAGTCAGGGCCCTGCGGGTAAGTCCATGTTTCCAGTAGAGGCATTAACTTTACCTTCAAGGTGTGCGTCAAGTAGCAGTTGGGCCCAGAGTACCCTGGGTCACAGATGCATTGTTCCTTTAAGCAGTCTCCGTGACCTCTGCAGTTGTCCAGGCATCCAGGGCCCAGGTAGAAGTTATCGATCGCCCACTGCATGTCTGAGTACGTCTGGTAGAACCGAAACCTGACTGGACTATTCACAGCACAAAAGAAATAGAGGGGGAAATATTAACTTTATTCAGACCCACTTTCCTGCATGTGTACAGAGTAGTCAAGAGCCAAAGAGATGTAAGACATTTTGACAGGATGAAATGGGTAACTAACAAATGTTTTCTGACTGCTACTTCATTGTTTGTCTACTTCTAGAAACGGAACTTTAAAGACTAATTTCATGTGCATTTTAGAATACCTGAGACAAGTTACAAAACAAAAGGAAATACAATGGAATCTGTATGTCCAACAATAAAAACATAAAAAATATGCACCACTGCAACTATCATAAATCAGGTTTCTTATGAGCTGGCATGATTTCCTTGGTGCCCGCACCCTTCAGATGCATTGTCTTTGTGAGATTTAGCAGAAGGGTACTCTTGAGAGCGCTCTGGTGGTCTGTGCACAGGTTTCAGGCAGTTGGGGAAGAGCAACCTTTGAATTCCTCAAACGTGAGCATTGTTCTCATAGCCGCTGTGAGTCTTAGAACACAATGTTGAACGAGCTGTATTAAAAGACAATTTCCCCAAGATCTTAATCTCACCGTTGTTCTTCACTTGTCTTCTTGCACATCAACAAGCTGCATAATTACCCTCAGATACAGCATAATATTTTGGAACAGAGTCCGAAATGGAGAAAGCAAGCTTCTGAGGTGATGTAAATTTTCTATATCTTGTTTTGTGTGGCGGTTACCAGGCTTCCCCATGGCCACAACTCACCGAGTTGAACATCTATGCTATTTCTCTACATAAATTATGCGTCATTATTATTTTTAAAAAGTATGCCTCGTTATAAAAAAAGCATATATCGTTAGAGGATAAGAGGGGAGAATGACTGATGTTTGTCATTCAGTCCCCAGCGTCCAGATGAGACTGGCTTAGGAATGGGACTCTTGAGTTAATGTTGACCAATGAGATGCAAGGAGGTGGTCCTCTGGCTCTCTCAGGAAGAAATGTAACTCTCCTTCGCTCCCATTAGACATGGGTAAGGAAGCATTTTCTTCCAGTTGGCTGGCAGTCATTTTGTCTTCCGAAGATGAACTCGTCCCAGCGGGGCAAAAATACAGGAGTGAGAACAATATGCGTGAAGATAAGGATGGGTCTGAAAATTAAGCAATCCCAGAGCCCACTTACCGTTGGGATTTTTATGACAGACATGAAAAATTTCATTTTTATTTGACCAGTTTGACTTGCACTGTCTGAAAGCAATTAAATTCATTTCAAAAACCTGAGTGGTCCTGTCCCATGTAAACACCTTTCCCAACGCCTCTGTCTGTTCTAGTGCTGTAGCACATTCTTTCCACAAGTCCTTTCCGCAGGTCGCTTGACCATAACATTGCTACAGTGGGGGTGCACCTGCCATTTTCTTCAATGTATCTCTTTTGTTAATTTTACAGTACAAGGGAACATGACGTTTTTGAAATTGTCCTAAGTGAACATATTCGTACCCTTTGCAGAGACTAGTTTAGTCACCTTGGCTCAACATTGTTCTTGGTTAATTACTTTGCTCTGCAGGTGTAAAACAGAATGCTTTGATAAGGGAAACAGGAAACCTGTACAAGCAGCATGAAGAGTTAGGAGGTTTGCAGGTATCATGCAAAGTCGATGGTGCATGACGGACTACAGAGGACAGGGTGATAAGGTACGGGACATCTTTTCTCATGGCACCAAGGGCATCACTATTGCTTCACCCCATTTAAAGAAAGACAGGTGTGCAATATGGAAGAACCATTTTTCCAGTTCTGAGAATTACAACCAGAGGTCTTCTGAAGTTCGTTTATCACGTAGTTTATGAATTTGAGGATCTTTAGGATTTTGGAGGACAAAGCAACTTTCCCCACAATTACACATAATTCCAAGCTTAACAACGAGGCTCCCGATTTACTTCTGGCTGCTTGGAAGCAGGTTTTATTTTTAAAAAGTTTAAACTTACTTTCCCACTAAACTTTCAGGTAGTGGGTAGGTGATCCGTTTCCATTCTTTAGTTGGAAAGAATACAGATGGCTGAGAAACACTCCCAGAGCATTTGGGGTCAGCAGGTAAGCACTGGGGCACCAGATAATTCCAGCTCACACCAAAGTCCGTAGAATACTGCACATGAATTTGATTCTGGGCGATTTTTTCAGACACTTTACATCCAACAGCAATCTAATAAATGTAGAAAAGCAACACTGTCAAGGTATTAAAACATGAAAGACATTCAAGCTGATTTCCACTGTACGAACTCTGCATCAAGAACTCGGCTGACCACTTGGCATATGCTGCTCCACAGCCCTTCTGGGCTTTAGGGTCACTCTTTGTTCTACTGATGGACAGGGAGCATTGACATGGTTGCCCAAGGTGACAGATTACCGAGAGTGCCAAGTGTATTGTTTGGGGTTTGGAGAGAAGCTGAAGCCTACACTTCTGCCCAGCTGGCTGGCTGCCTTGGAAGGCCTCCGCAGCTCTTACAAATTGCTGTTTGTTGTGTTAATGGTCTGGCACTTCTCTTTTGCAGCGTGCTTGACCAAGAAGGATGGCTAACAGCTTTACTAATTTTGCTATTTTGTTGTGCAATTTATGAGTCTCAATAAATCACCTTCAACTACATCTGAAATGCAATGAAGTGACAACAGAAAGTACTTTAATACTTCCCAGCATCCTTTGTTAATGGAGATAGACTTAATGTGACACTTGTTGCTAGTACAGTAAAATTTAGGTAGGCAGGCTAAATGGGTGGATATTTAATCTTGGCCAAAATATGAAGTTGATGTTGGCAATAATGCTAATCTCGGTTTTCTTTTCTTTCTTTTTTTTTTTATTGTTTTTGTCAGGTATTATTTAATAATTTTCATTAATATTTCAAAACTCTTATCTAGTTTTCTGTACCCCTTTCTTAAAAATCATTTTATTGGGGGCCATTACAGCTCTTATAACAATCCATATATCTATTGTGTCAAGCACATTTGTACATATCTTGCCATCATCCTTTTCTTTTTTTTCTTTTTTTAACATTTTATTAGGGGCTCATACAACTGTTATCCCAATCCATATACACATCAATTGTGTAAAGTGCATTTGTACATCATTCTCAAAACATTTTCTCTCCATTGAAACCCCCGACATTAGGTCCTCATTTTTCCCCTCCCTCCCCGCTCCCCCCTCCCACATGAGCCCTTGATAGTTTATAAATTGGTATTTTGTCATATCTCGGTTTTATTTTCTATTAATTTTCTTCCTCCATAAACATTAAAATGCTCTTATGAAAAGGCAGATAGTGCAATTATGGCTTTAATATTTTCTAAATGTGAAAGTTTGCCTAAGTCATACTAGGAGGTATCTGAGACACTTGCAATCAGTATCCTATGTTTTTATGATCCATGTTTTTATTGAATCAGCATTTAATCCGGTGTATACTTCATGCATATGAAAGTTTCATCTTGAAATAGTTTAGAAAAGAAATACCCTTAATCATCAAGTCATAAATAAATTACATACTATTTTAATAACAAATTTTATTTTTCAAAGTACAAATGAAGCTAATGAAATTTTAGATCATCTTTGTCATTAAATTTTCCCCATATTTTTTACCCCGATCTAAATGCCAACATTCTTTTTCTTTCTTACTTTTTCTGAGGGCTCTTACATCTCTTATCACAATCCATACATTCATCCAGTGTGTCAAGCACATTTGTACATATGCCGCTATCATTTTCAAACCATTCTCTTCCCACTTGAGCCCCTGATATCAGCTCCCCTCCCCTCCCTATTTTATATTGTTAATGTGCTGTTATTAATGAAATAGAGACCAGCTGCTTTCACCTTGAATTGCAAAATCCAGCCTTCTGTGGGAGTCAGGTCATGGGTCACTGCATACACTTCTCTGCCATCATGACTGCCGCAAAGCATGACACCATCAGGGGACTCACAGAATCGCTCTACTGTACAATCATCATGGAATAGCCAATGCTCATTCACTTAAAAAAATCATGACAAATGAAAACACTAGAATCAGATTTTCACTTCCGATGAAATCTAGAATGATTTCAAGTAGAAATTACTCATATGTTACATGCAGTCCACAGACAAAACACTGATACAAGCACATAGTTTGAGGAACATGAATCCTGGAGGTGTTGAGATCTGGCATTGCAAATCTACACTAGGAGAAAAGTACGTGCATTATACATAAGGGATCTGTATATATCACTTTCTGACGGATTTTTACCTTTCTGAGTAGGATCAAGAGGAGGAGACGAAATGTTAGTAAAATGAAAGGGCAGGGGGATAGCAAATTCTGTTCATATTCTGGGAGAATTACCTGAAACTTTTAAGCAGCCCATCTAATGAGACAAACAACTTGTTTTGGGGCCCAGAAATTGAGAAAAATTAAAGCTTGATGTTGTTGTACTTGTTATGAAGAATACTTTTTAAGTGCTGAAAATATGAAATCATTTCTACCTTTGGAAAACATGAAAATCAAATGTTAGCAGAGGATGATTGGAAATGAGGATTCTCTCTAAAATAGTTATACACTTGTATTGGTCACTCAATACTTGGGAACAGATATTGAAATGTGAGCAACAGCTACACTTTGAGGAAATGTATCCAGCTGATAAATGACTGAAACAGGAGATTTGGAAGAGTCTAAGGAAAACCAGGCAACAAGACGGTGAGTTGAGGGCAGAGTAAGAAAGACTGTGTGAGTCACTGAGTGGCACAAATGGTTCCTGGCCTCAGCAGCTAACCCAGAGGATGAAGGTTCGAGTCCCTCACAAGGGTTCAAAAGGCGGGCCCAGTGATGCCCTTCTTTAAAAGCAGCCAAGGAAAACCCTAGGAGACACGAATGGGGTCGCCTTGAGTCTGCTGACTTCAGGGCAACTGGTTTTCATTCATGTGAATTGAAGAGCACAGAGTGGGCCCTGCTTCTTTCTCCCTCTTTCCTCCCTTCCCTTCCCTCCTTCTTTCTGTCATGTCCCCCAAATTCCCTTCTAAAAAAATGTATTTTTGCATCATGATTTTATTCCAGAAAGCTTAGAGCTAAATCCACACACTGCATCTAATTCATGAAAGACTCAGACAACATAGACCCAACCCCTCTGTGTGTGCTTTCTGGGGTGATCACCAACATTTATAATGGAGAGAGCTGGATGGCCTCTGAGCATTCAGAGGAGAGACCGGACAATGTATTCTACTTTTCAGTCATTTATTTTTTTCCCCATGGATGTAAACCTTTTATTCGTAGCATCTGCTGGTAGTAACAGCACAGGACACCTTCCGCTGGGAGTGGTTTGGGCCTGGACGAGGCTGTGAGGACTCTGGTCAGTCTCTGGGGCCAGGGGGTCTTCACTTCTTTGCTGGGGCCATCTTCTCCGTCTCGGGCACGATCATGGCCACGTCCACGAGCCGGGTGAGTTGCGGGTTGTTGTCCATGGCGCTCTCCACGTGCTCTGGAGTGATGCGGATTCTGTGGTTGACGTGGGCTTCGTTACTGGCCATCTCCAGAATGTTCGCTATCAGGTACTCGAGCACACCAGCAAAGAACACCGGGGTCGCAGAACTCAGGCGCTGCGCGTAGCTTCCTTCCCGCAGGAGCCGTTCCACTCGGCTCACGGGAAACTGCAGCTCGGCTCTGTGGGATCGGGAGAGAAATGACCGCCGATGCCTGTGGAATCTGTGAGCGCGTCTATGTCCTGGCATGATGTTCCTTGACCGGATGTTTCTGGCTCGGTTCGGCTCAGCTTGATTGTACTGCTGGCCTGAACCTCTGGCGATCACTGTGGTCAGTCCTACAGGTGTCTGCCCCTCATTGGTCAGAAGCAGCCTTTGTGACACCTGCCCTTTGTGATGAGACAACTGAATTATAATTCAGCCTCACCCGCTTGTGTCTTTTTGATCTTGTCTGTGGGCTGATCTCTGGGATTCAAACGGTGACCACAATACCAATATCAGTTTGCTTTTTTCCTGGAGGGATTTGGAACTGCTTGAATCCAACATCAGACGGTGGACTCAAAAGGAATCTCAATTCTAACATAACTACCTTGAGTCAGTTACTCTAGGGCGCATATTTCACTTTATGTCCGCTCTCTGCAATCCTGATGAAAGGTGCCTTATGTCAATCGACTAATCAGTCTGTTCTATCCCAAGGTCAGCAAGTATGCCTATAGGTAAATGCTACCGCTTCTGGAATGGTTTTCCTAAGACAAGCAGGAACTAGGACATTGATTATTTTAATAGCACACCACTAATTCCCAATAAAGTCAATACCCCAAGGACTTGAAAAATAATCAGTATACTTTATACGGAAATAGTTAAAAATTATTCTCTAATTTTAAACCCATGTATATAAATTATTACATAGGAATAAACAATTTCAATCTCAATAACCTTAATTGAATAAGATTACTTAGTTTTGAGCAACTTTTTATACTTTTTGTGATTTAAAAGGGTGTTATTTAGTATGTCTTTGCAATTTATCATAGTGCCAAGTGAATGCATTAATGACAATTAATCTTTAAGTATTCAACAATGTGGAGATAGAAAAACAAATTATGGTGCCATCTTTTACAACTATTGAAAGTATATTTTCAAAGATACTTAGGGATATAGGATTTAATTACAGGTTAAAAAATCAAGCTAGTCTGGGGTCTTAAGGGCTTGAAGTTAAACAAGCGGCCATCTAGCAGGGAAGCAACAAAGCCCACATGGAATAAGCATACCAACCCATGTGCTCACGAGGTGTTTGGTGCGATCAGGTATCAGAAGACCTCAAATAACTGTTTTGATGTGAACGAGTGGGGTCAGAATGGAGACCCAAAGCCCATCTGCAGACAATTGGACATCTTCTCACAGAAGGGTCACAAGGAAGGGACAAGTCAGCCAGGGTGCAGTAAAGCACCGATGAAACATACAACATTTCTATAGTTCTTTAGTGCTTCCTCCCCCCTCCCGCACTATCATGACCCCATTTCTATCTTACAAATCTGGCTAGACCAGAGGATGTACACTGGTACAGATAAGAGCTTTTGACACACAGAATCCAGGACAGATAAGCCCCTCAGGACCAATCATGAGAGAAGCAATCCCATGAAGGTAGAGGGAAGGTGGGTAGAGAAGGGGGAGAAAGGGGAACTGATCGCAATGATTGACATACACCCCCTCACCCCCAGGGGGACAAACAACAGAAACATGGGTGAAGGGAGACAGTGGACGGTGTAAAATATGAAAATAAAAATAATTTATAAATTATCAAGCGTTCATGAGGGTAGGTGGGTAGGGGTGGGAGGGGAAAAAAGAGGAGCTGATACCAAGGGCTCAAGTAGAAAGAAAATGTTTTGGAAATGTCGATGGCAACATATGCACAAATGTGCCGGACACAATGGATGTCTGGATGGTTACGAGAGCTGTAAGAGCACCCAATAAAAGGATTTATCAAAAAAAAAAAAAAATCAAGCTCCACAATATATATGAGGTAAGATGATAATTTTGTTGGAACTATATTTATATATTTCCAAGGAACTGTGGTGGTTCTGTGGGTTAGGCATTGGTCTGCTGATTGCAAAGCCAACAGTTCAAATCTACCAGCTGATCCATGGGAGAAAGATGAGGCTATCTTGCTCCTATACAGATTTATCGTCTCAGAAACCCTATTCCAGGGTGATGGTCAGTCAGAATGGAGTCGATGGCAGTGTTTATATTTATATAATGACATAAAAGATGACTCTAAGGAAATACACCAAAATATTGACAGTGGTCATGCTCTGGGTGATGAGATTTCAGATGAGTTTTTGTTTCATTCTTGTGAATTTGACCTTTTCTCAGTTTCATACTTTGAACTTACATGACCTTAAAAATAAAGATTCATATTATTATAAGTGATTAAACTCCACAAATTTCCAATTTTCTCCCCAGATAGGCTTCAATAACCTAGAAGGTTCTTAAAAGTCTTCCTCTGGCAAAACCGATCCAGCTTGTCTCTTCTCTGAGCAAAATGCAGAATTGGATGTGACGCAGTTCTGCTCTTTGATGAATCTGTAGCAGCTTCATATTTTAATCTGTTTTCTGATTAAATATCACTACCTAACCATAAGATATATTTTATGCAATAAGACCAAGGATGTGGCAAAACAAAGTCACATTCTTCCTCGAAGATATCCTTTTACAAAAAGGTGACCAACATAGGGCCATGAAATCACACACAACTGAGGCATTACAAGTGAGAGTAGCAGAAAGGGACCCGTCCCAATTCACCAGCATCACTGAGCGATACCTACTGGGCCAAAGAGCCACAAGCAAGACCTTGACACTACCTGAAACAGGAAATGCTGCCATACCTTGCCTTGGGATATTTTTTAAAAAAACCATGGGGGGATGTTGGCTTTCTACTCAAAGAGGAATCCAGGAAACACAGAAATGAACGCTTTTCCTCTAAGAAAGCAAAATCATCCTGGTAATGAAACTAGGGAATGGGAATTATTAAGGTAGACTTGCTGGCTTGGTGAAAGAAGATATTTCGTGATAACAAGTTTGGAAGGCTGTGGAAAAGAACCATATTCATTTCCTGGAGACGGTGTGACTCATGGTGACTACCATCTCCTTTGAAAGTAGACTGCCAGGCGTTTCTTCTGAGGCTCCTCTGGGAGGACTAAGCCGCCAACATTTCAGTGAACAGCCGAGTGTATTAACCATTTGCACCAAGCAGAGAAATGAGGATAGCATAAATGAATCCTTTGTTGATACACCAGGTGAGTAGATGCAAAATTTCCCTCCAAAGCAGGTTCAAATGACTGCATTCGCCCTGGTTGCTATATTTAGTATCAAGGAGAAATGTACCTGCGGTTTTGTCCTCCACGAACATGTCAAAGGCGATCCTCCCGACTGGACCGGCGTCGGCGGGGGAGCGCTCATGCTGGGGCACTGGGGCACTGCTGAAGGTGTCCAGCATGACGGTCCGCTGGTCCGCAGAGCCTGAGATGAGCACGTTGTCGATGGCCCAGTCATTCTGGTCCAGGCCCTCGTGCCTTGGCTGCCACCAGCGAAAGCGAGTAGCGATCTCTTTTGCATCAGGAGGAAGAAGGATATTCACAAATCTGTAAGAAAAGTGAGGGGTTTGGGAAAAGGCTGGGTCAAATATCTTGTATGTGTAAAAGATTTACGAGCAGAAGAAAGAGACTGCATGTTACATGGTGGTAGTGCAAAGACAGTAGGATATTCTCCCCTGCCCTCCAAACTCTAATAAGCTAGCTGCCTTATTTTCACAAACTGTCTGTTGGCAGTAACATGGGGAACTAACGTATGAACAAATTCAAGCATCACTGAAGTAGGTAATGTAACTCAGTCCCTGGACAAGGATCCCGAGGGGTCCCCTAGGATCTGCAGAATGAGCCAGGGCTAGAATACATGCACTTTGGTCATCCTGGACAAGGATCCCGAGGGGTCCCCTTGGATCTGCAGAATGAGCCAG